TCTTGCAAATCTTTTCAAAGAATCAGCTCTTCATTTCATTGATTCTTTGTATTATTTTCTTCCTTTCTATTTCATTAATTTACACCTTGACATCTACTCTTATCTCTTACCATCTACTCTTTTTTTAGGTGTTGTTTGTCCTTGGTTTTCTAAGTCCTTCAGATGCAACATAAGTTTATTTATATGGGATGTTTCTAATTTCCTAGAGTAGGCATTCAATTCAATGCTATACATTTTTCTCTTACAACTGCCTTTATGTGTCCCATATAATTTGGTATGTTGTTTTTTTCTGTTTCATTTATTTCTCGGAATTTTAAATTTTCCCTCGTGATTTATCTCTGACCAATTTTAATTCAGTAGGAGTGTGTTGTTTAGTTTGCACAGTTTGTGTAGTTTTTCCCATTGTTGGTGGTATCTAGTTTTATTATTTTTTGTGCTCAGCCTACAGAATATTTCAACTTTTCTAATTTGTGCATATTTGCATTGTGTCCTAATACTTGGTCAATTTTGAACAAAGTTTCATGGACTGTTGAGAAGAAATATATTCTTTGTTATTTGGGTAGAATGTTCTGTAGATATATTTTACATCCATTTGATTTATGATGTCATAGATCCAGAGTTTCTTTATTCAGTTATTGTCTTGCTGGACTGTCTTTTGCTGAAAGTGGAGTATTGAAGTCACCCATTATTACCATGTTGGAGTCAATGTGTGATTTTAGATCTAATAGAGTTTCTTTTATGAAACTGGATGCCTACGTGTGTGGTCCATGTATGTTTAGAATTATAATATATTCCTGTGTATTTTTCCTTTAATATGTACAAAGTGACGTTCCCTGTCTCTTCTGACTTGTTTAACCTTGTATTCTACTTTGTCACATATTAGAATAGCCACATTTGCTTGTTTGCTGTGAATACATTTCTCATCCTTTTAACCTAAGGTGGTGTCAGTCATTGACAATGAAGTGTATTTCTTGGAGGCAGCAAATCAATGGATTCTGTTTTCTAATCCAATCAGTCTGTGTCTTTTTTCCCCCCTGGGAAGTTGAGAGCGTTAACATTGAGAAATGTTATTGACCAGTGTTCATTAATTTCTGTCATGTTGGTGTTGTAGTATTGTTTTCTTAGACCTCTTTTGTTTAACTGCTCAGGAATGGCTTATTTATTCTTTTTCCCATTGACAGCATTTAATCTTCTCTTCTGACCCAAGTATTCCTTTGAGTATTCTCTGCAGAGCTGGCTCCGTAAACATGAATTCTTTAGATTTATTTTTATCATGGAAAGATTCTCTTCCTCCTTCGATTACAACTGACAGTTTTGCCAACTATATTAGTCTAGTCTTGAATCTCTGTTGTTTTCTAATTGCAGGACATGGGTTCAAGCTCTTCTGGTGTTCATAGCCTCTACTGAAAGGTCAGTTGTTATCTTGATGGACCTGGCTTTATATTTGACTCGATCGTTCTCTCTCACAGCTTTCAGCATCTTTTCCTTGTTCTGTGCATTTAATGTTTTACTGTTATATGATGTGGGGAGTTTCTTTTCTGGTTCTGTGTATTTGGTGTTCTCTGTGTTCTTTTTACTTGATGGTTATCTGTTTCTCTCTACTTGGGTAATTTTCTCCATAATGTTATTAAAATTATTTTCTTACCTTTGACCTGGGTTTCTTCTCCTTCTTATATATTCATAGGTTTGGCCTTTTTACAGTGTCCCAGAGTTCTTGTATATACTGCTCTTGGCTTATTTTCATTTAACATTTTCTTTGATTAAATGATT